TGCAAACTCTACCCAGAAAGGTCCCCGGACCGGGATTTGAACCGGTGACCTTCTTGCTGAGAGGCATCAGCTCTACAAACTGAGCCACCGTGCCGTTAATTTATTTTTTTTATGATATGTTATATGATATGTTTATGATTTAAGATTTGTACTGATAAGAATTTTTTTTTACTTCAACTTCCCTTTTCTGTTGGATGTCTAGATTTTGTTATCAGTCAGTGGTTCACACACACTTTTTTGGCCAATCAAATTTTTCATGCTGTTCAGAAGAACAATCAGAAATAATTTCATGTATCTGGAATGAAATGAGCCTTTGTGTACAGCTTTAATCGTCCTGACATTCTGTAAAGGTGATTGATATTTGCTGTTGTTTTCAGTAGTGTGTTTGTTTAAGTTGTGGTGCAGCTGATGTCTTTATATGCAAATGGCTTATGAGAGAAATATCCACACAYGCTCATGTTAATCAGGATTGTTAACGTGCAATTTCCCAATGATTGAAATTTATAAAAGGCAATTACATTTAATTATAGTCTTAGAAATCCAGCAAAAAAGAATGAATAGACATTGAGTATTACTGTCCTTGTGCTTACACAGCTTAGTCATTAAAATACACAGAGTTTTAAGCATGGCCCTCAGTGGGTAGCTGAATTCCAAACCATCTACAGGGGGTTTCGTTAAAGCTTTGTCACACTATAATTTTTTAGAGAACTAATGCTGACTTGTGAAAATGTTATGAGTAAATTACTTATTTAGGTTATATATTTGTATTTATACATCCAAAAGATGCTTCTTGTAGATATTTTTTAAATTCCATCTTCAGCAAAGATATCTTAAAACAAAGTTGTCATAAATTTTAGTGTGACAGGGTTTTTATTTTCATTTCGCACCCAGTAAAATTTTTCTTAACAAAAAAGAAGAGACCCAGTAACATGCATCAACATAAAAAATACAAATAAAAAATAAATAAATGTTGACTATTTTTGCTACCTAATGAATTTGTGYCTTAAGCTAGTTATTTTTAGTGGCTTATCAGTCCTACGTTAAGAGAGACACCTTAGCATAATAACAWAGCAGACTGTTGTAGGCAGATCTGGTGTCAAGTTCTGCTGCCTGACTGCTTGCACGTCAAGTTGTTCACGTGGGCCAGGTTCAGCAATGATGGTACTGTTCATATGATGGCCTGCCATAACTRGGCCAGTTGTGGTTTGGTTTATATGGTGCTGGACCATGCATGGACCACCTCTGGCAAACCACAGCTGGGTCATCATTCTTTGCGGTATCTGGGTAATGTGCTGA